GTGCTATGTATTTATTTTGATATGCATATCAAAAATCAATAAAAACAAAAAGCAAATACAAATGGAATGCAAGTTAAAACAATAATAATTAACGTTTCTTTTCTTCTGATTCTTTTGGGAAAACCAAAAAACTTAAATTACATTATTTTAAATTAAATTATATACGAATATTAACACGAGCAACGAGTGGGTGAGTTTCTTAGCTGGCATTTTCTTAGTTAGTTGATTGAGCCACAACATTTATTTATTTATTAAATGGTCGAAAAAATCGAGTTTTCCTAATTATTCAATATATCTAATTATAAAAATTAAGGGCTAATTAGAATAAATTTTCTAATAGCATAACCGACCGATGGAGGTGGGGACAATTATGTCGTTGAATGACCTCACGATGTGAATGTCTGGGTTAAGGATCTCGGTAGACATAACTAACGGTAATGTTATGTTAATGTTACTGTTAATGTTAATGGATTGCGTGCGGGACGAGAGTGTGGTAATTGGCTAGACGCAGTTTTGTCTATTTTTAAGTACACATTACACAAAAAGGTTGGCCACTGACGATGGGTAATTACTTCTTTGTGTTATATACAAAAACAGCGTACGAAGAGATACACGTTTTTGTGATTTGATCTTTACATTGTTCACGGAATGGAAACGCTTTCATGATCTGAAGACCCCTCGCAACTGTTGACCTTAAGACCTTGTGTCGTATCGAGGTGTTAATCGGGAAATTTGATTTCTGCCGCTCTGCAGTTACCAAGATTTATATATTATTCGAAACAAATGAAGAGCTTTGTCAACTGCTCTTTTTGTGTTTTTAATATAAATATAAATAAATATTTCCAGTTTTTTTTATATATACTTATATATCCATATTTCAAAACTAATCACCAGAACACCAGGTCTATTTCCTCCCTCCTCCAACCGCCAACTTCCGCAAATTGTAAAAGCTTTTTATACCCTGAACCCATTAAAAATGGGTATAAGGGTATGTTGTATTTGTGCAAAATTCAAATGTATGTAGCAGGCAGAAGGAAAGTATATATATTCTTGATCAGCATCAATAGCCGAGTCGATCTAGCCATGTCCGTCTGTCTGTCCTTCCGTCCGTCCGTCTGACCGTATGTATGAACGCAAGGATCTCAGAACCTATAAGAGCTAGAGACTTGAACTTTAGATGTAGGTGCTCCTAGTGCCTGCGCAGATCGAGTTTGTTTCCGATAATCGATAACTTACTCCGTTTCCAAGCAATCGATCAAAATCGATATCGATTTCCTGTTTTTTGGGCAATTTTGGTAAATAATAAGAGCTAGAGTCACCAAACTTGACATATAGCTTCTAAAATAGAATATATATATATATTTGATGTTAGAGAAGAGGGTTCAGGGTATCCCCTAGTCGGGAGTTCCCGACTAGAACCTCTGACTTTATTATTTTATTTTGGAGGTATTCATCAACAATGGGGTTTTATTCAAAATACTTAATATTAAAGTTTGTGACCCGTGCAAAGTACAATGCGTTATTAATAATATAATAGTATAAAATGCGCTATATATATGTGCCAGACTTGGCATTGGTGAATAGTTCTGGAATATGGATATATTTGCCCGGTCTTGGGGTTAAATACATTTTCTGACTCGTCAAACCTTTATGTGAAAATCTTCTCAGCAAAGGAGGCAATTTTTAGATAACAATTGAATTGTTTGATTGAAATTTTGAAAATATATATGAGAAACTGTGCACCAGCAGATCCATACGGGGAATTGTATTTCAATATATATATATATATATATATATATATATATTGATATTCGTTCCAATAAATAAAACAAATTAGACAGACTATTGGCGGGTGTAAGAAATGTAAATATATACAATCAGAAATAAAGTCATATGACATAAAAATATGATTAATAAATAAAACATTTACGCACCCTTTACGAGTAGCTGTGAATCCTGCAGATCGAAATCTTCTGCCGGATCGAGGATAGAGATGCTCTCCTTGTGCTTCGGATGCCTTTCATTGGAACGATGATGGTGAGTCGGGGATGAGGTTGACTTCGCCGGCGTATTGAGGCTGCCTCGGGCAGCCGTGTTATTGTTGTCCATTTTGGTTGGCAGACTTTGATCTGTTGTGCTAAGGATTGAGGCTTCGATGTCGACGAGCTGCTGTGTCGGCGGCGTATGCCACCAGTTGAGCTTCAATAGATTGTTTTTGGTTGCGATTCGAGGTAGATGAAGCAGTCCCTCCTGTTCCTCCGCCTGCACGTTGATGCCATTGGATTGCGGCTGCAGCAGCAGCAGCTCATGGCAGACACTGTCCGCAATCAGGCACGCGGCGCCAGGCTCACCTTGGCTGGCGGACATTTTATTACGCCTATTTCCGCGATTCTAATTCACGTCAATATATATATTTTAATTTGTGAGGCTTTACTTTGATTTATATCGTGTTTGGCTTTGCTTTGATTTTTAATCGTTGGTTAGTTGGTTAGTTTTTCTTTTCTTTATTTCCTTTGTGTTCTGATGGACTATGTCAGCTGCACATCTCCCGTACTTGCCGGTTTGTCGGAGTAGATGCAACAACGACTACGCGAGACGCCGCCAAAAGGAACACGCCATATTTAGGGAACGCGGAGTCCGTGCGTGGTGGCATCTTTGACCGATTCGCATGTGAGAGAGTGGGGCGACGGAATGATATCGAGAAAAAGCGAGCCGGAACGAGCTGGAACGGAAGTGCCCCACGGCACTTTTAGAAGCTGGCTTTTAAGCGATTTCTTTTACGTTGTCGCAAAGCGTAAAACTCGTACCGGTATTTCGCAATCCAATTCCAATGGAATCCACCTCCGGGCGCCGGTCTGCCGAGCCAAATGAACTTTAATCATCCAAAATTCGAGCTAGCGTTCACCAGGCGCAGACACCACGCCCCGGCCAGTTGTTGTTGTCCTCCGCTGCCCACGCGCTTCTCGAAATAGAATTGTTTGACGTACTCTTTTTGCAGTAGCACCAAATCGATCAGGGTCAGGCCAAAGCCGGCAGCTTGCTCAATATACGCCACTGATCCCAGCTGTGCGCCGTCCACGTCTAAGTCGGTGTCGGTGTCTGTGTCGATGACGTCACCGTCTCGACGCCTACGCAACCTCCTCTTGAATGACCCGATATGCTCCTGCTGCTCGGTTGCACTTTGAACTGAATTCATTACGTTATCACTAGAAGGAGATGCTTGTTTCTTTGACAACCCGATGGCCTGCCAATGTGTTAGGTGGAAATCTGAAAATCTGATTAATTCACGTCCTCTCAATTTCACAATTATGTATTCTGCTGCGTTCATATGTACATATGCATTCATATATACATTACCAAAGTTTCGTTGAATTTAATAATGTTTCAATCGAGGTTATATTGTCGTTGAATACACACACAAACACACAGTACACTCGAGTAGTTTTTTCTTTTTTTTTAAGTATTTGCTTGTTAAACAGGGCGTCTTTTAAACTATACGTTTAACAATAATAATTGCTCAGCGTTTATGTGATTTTCCGCGAGTTGATCAAATGACAACTGTTGATAGAACGTTGACTTATTGTATTTACAAATCGTTGTTTTGTTTTGAACTACAAATTGTGATTTGGCTGGTTTTAAAATGGGAAAATTACTGTTCTTCACGCTCATTCCTTGATGAGTAACATTGGATGGCATACTCATCGCGACAAATGCATGCGACGGCTTGGCGTTGGATTTTTATACACACACACAAGAGTCAACAAAATGTGGAAAGTCTGGAAAGCTGTTCGCCGTAGGTTGTCTGAAAATAATAAACGTCTGTTATTACGCATATACATTTCAAGAAAATCATAGCTCTAAGTTAATTCTATATTCCTTTGTGATGTTTGCTTTACTTGTATCCTTTTCTTTACACTAAACTCGATTTGGGAATAATCGATAACGATGTCATTGCATTGCATAGGAGGTGTGGTGCCACACCGCAAATGTTCTATGTACACTCATACCTACATTTATATATATACATACGCTTATAAGCAACTCTTATAAATTTGCCACTTGCTTCGTTCACATGTGTGTGTTATAAATATGCAGAACTCAATGATTCAGAACGACCTTTACCCATTAAATGAAATAATTATGTAGACACAATGTGAGTCATGTGACATAACATAAATCTACACACAAATTTTCACACTTGTCGGTATATTTATATGTATGTTTCTAAATAACCGTCAAACAAACCTCTAAGTAGATAAGTACGTATGCATGTATAAATCTTATGCACTCATGCCAAATATATCCCATAATATGTTTAGTATTGATTCTCTTTAAAATACTATTAATTTATGATTTGATAGAATTCGTAGATGAGCGTTTTTCACTGCCACACGTTTTTCTGCGAGACGAAGCATATGTATGTATGAGCACATATGTTTATATATCTAAATACGCATGTCATGTAGATAGAAGTATGTATGCGTGTGTATTAATGCAAAAGATAGACAGTCACATTGATCTCATGATATCGAAAACTATTCGATAAATAAGTATTATATCGAGTGGCCTGCAAATATATACCAAATACAGCTATTTTTTTCAGACACCAATACAGCAAACTTTTTAACTTAACGATACTTATTTTTGTGAACGAAGTTTAATTTCCCAATAATTTCCCTTCTATATAAATTCCCTTTTAAAAATGAGCGGGCTCCTCTTAAATTAAAATGTTTCTTAGTTAATAGTTGACTATTCCTTTTTTTTAGTTCAGCTCGACAGTATATGCACGAAATACTTATTTTTCTTAGAGATAGTCTCCCCACGATGTCATACAAATTTTGACCATAATTATTATCATAATACAAGTACATCCAATTAAAGTTCAACAATTTATTTTGGAAATAAAATATTACGCATTATCCTTCTCGGATGAATTCAAGGCGTGCAAATCGAGGGGTTCCTATTGAATTAAAAACCAAGCTAAAAGTATTAAATAAGTTTGTAATTTAAACACACACGAATGACAATTTATTAAACACTTTGAATAAATATTGCAAGACAACATCGAACTTTTTACTGGTGCAACAAAATTGGAAGATATCTCATCGGGCTTCTATTTAAATTAGAATCCATATTAAAATCAAAAAACCAAAATTGAAATTGTTGTCCTGTCCGTCGAAATAAATCTGCTTTTAATACATTTGAACATGTATCGTATACTACATGAGCTTCGTTTGTAGTTGCAAACAAAATAAACAGTACATACATATAAATAAATAAATATAGATCATACCAAAACATGATATATCAACTGTTCAATCTTTTGTTTTGTTTGAAATATTGCTTTGTAAATCGGAATTACGCGACGTAATTGCTTTAACATTTATATTGCCGGCCGGTTGGCACTTGTCCGCCAGTGTATGCAATAGCGTGTCCTCAACTGTGTCTGGAATCCTGTCCAAATCTTTTAGGTGCAATGATTTTATTAAATTGTCCTCCGTCTCAATGCCTTAATAAATTAAAAGAACAATTAGAGAGCAATAAAAAGACAGGGTTCCTTTCCATCTAATAGTTACTACCTTTTGACACGATATTTTCATGCACATATTCGGAAATCTGATATTCTTGCGGCTCACTCGGAGTTGGCGGAGGTGTCGAGCAGAGCCTATTTGTTGTCTCTATAATGAATATATACATTTGCGTTTAATATTTGCTGGCAGATTGCCTGCATCAAGAGGGATCACTTACCATTCTGGGATTGGCATGCTTTTCGGCACAATTCATCATCTAAGCTAAGCTGATCTATATTCAATGTTTCATTAAGGCCATCGGCGAGATTGGTTTGATTTTGTTGCAATCTGGCCGTGGCCAGGCCGCGCTCCAGTTTATCGGTGACTGGCTCCAAGTTAAAGATGCACTGTTCCACAATATCGTCTCGGCCAATTTTGTTTAGTACCTGGGCCATGGCATTGCCGGTGGCGCGAGAGCCCTCCTGTTTTAGCCAGAGTCGCAGCATAACCAGACCCTGCTGGGCAGCCGGTTGACCAGCGTACTCAGCTTTGACTAGCTCGATATCGGTCTCGGGTACACCCAATTCTTTGGCCAGCTGCGGCCAGTCACTTTCCAGCAAATTCGATATATCCGATAATCTGATATCAGCGCGCTGTATGTCTTCCGTTGCGAGGGCAATTGGCCGTATTATTGTATTGTCTGGCAATTTTGTGCTGGCCTTTATGCCGGCATTGATCATATCCTTGTAGTTCAGGCCGTGATCCATATTATATCCATTGTCGATACCATTTTCATTCGACCGGTTAAACACCTGATTAACCTCGTGGGCTGCCAGGGACACGTTTAGTGCACAGATTGGCTGCAATGGTGCCTCACCGGGTCCAACTCTCGGCTCGCTCATAAAACAGAGGCGAGCGTGCGGCTGCTCTTGATCCTTGATATGTACTATGAAAGACAAGCGATTCTCACGAAATGCCTGGAACTTGGTATTCAGTTGCTCGCCCGATTTCAATACGGGCACCAGATTGCCAGCAAACTCAAGATATATATTTTGATTCTGCAATACCTCGACGTCCCGACTCTTTGCCACCTCGCTGAAATACTCTTGCTGTTCGAGAGTTTTGTCCTCTTTATCGTCGGTCATACAGAACACGGATAGCTTTGCTTCTGTAGCGGATATTTGCTTTGCAAATACCACAAACTTGACCATAAATGGCACCTGAGCCATATACGTGTAAAGTTCTGTGGCCATTCGTCCAGCGTCGGCAACATTGCGACAATCCATTAGCCAAAAGCGTGCCGATACGGTTGTGGTAAAGCTAACGCTATCCTTGACAAACGCCAAGGGCGTCGAACCAGTTACGTCCTCCCAAATGGCTCGGTTCTGTCCACCAGTTATTGAGCACAAGAGCCTCAAAGTGGGCGCGGCGTTACCATTCGTACCGCTATATGGTGCATTGACCATGCCTTGATTGCATGTTTTCGGCGCTGGAATGCTCAATGTTATCGCCTTGTGAAACTTGCGTCGGCGTGGCTCCACGGTGACAACGGGCGAGACTGCAACACCCTGACCAAGCAGCTTGGAACAGCCAATCAAGTCTACTGGCTGTGCCTGAAGACCGACTCGAATTTTCTTAGTCAATGCATGTGGTGGAAATATGGATTGCACCTGCGGCACGGCCGTAGATGAAACGGTTCCGCCATCAGGCCCAATTGCATGGACCTCCTGGCGGATGCGCGAGACAACGGCAAAGAAATGCGGCACATTTTGTGTCACAATACGTATTATACGGTTTGTGTGTAGATCCTCCAGTGGATTTAAATCGGCATCGATCGTTTCGTTTAAGGCGCCCACTAAGTGCTCTTCGTCCTCGTAAACACTATGCTCCCGCCAGCTCTCGCCATTATCAGATCGTAATATGATAATTTCCCGCTCCTTCTCGCGCAGCGATCCAAAATGCGGCACCTCTAGTACAATGGGGCTTTAAATTTGAATACAAGTACATAGAATGGAGAAGTGAAGTTTAATTATGATTTAAAATAAAACAAATCTGATTACGTACCTTAGAAACTTTCCCTCGACGGGGGACATTTCCAATATGCGACTAACCAAGGCCTCACCCTCCATCAATGGCGGTGGATTAGCCACTCTCTGAGGCTTAACATAGCGACAGGTTATACGCGTGGGTTCTGCACACGCCTTGGGCGGCACAATGATGCGAACTCCACTGTGTCGACAGCCACGCATTGATCCGCCACGCGCGTCCACGAGGAACGAGACGAGGAATCTGCAATAAGTATTACCGAAAAGCTTAACTTGTTTTTGACTGTGATTTAAATCACATATTTTGACCCACCCCAGATGAACGGGCGGTCGTACGACGACCACATTATCGCTCTGTCGTTCCATAGAAGATGCATTCAAATTTGATGCAGTTGTCGTGGTTACTTCTTTTAGATGGATTAATTATATGTGATTAGTTGATAGTTGATAGATATATGTATATCCAACTACGCACCTCTTTCGATTGTTCGGCCGCCAAGTCCATCCAATTGATCGTGTTCGGGATTGGTGGTGTCAAAGTTTTGGTTATCGTGATCGTTGGCGGCTTTTAAATCGTCGGTCGCCATATATTTGTATTGATTATGATCTAAAAATTCGTCGCCACCTTCGTCTTCGGAATCGGATAGCAGCGTTTCGTGCATAAATTCCGGAGCTACGACTTTGTACTTTTCCTCTAGCACACTAGTCGATGAATTAATTACGGATGTTTGCGTTACGACTTTAAGTGTCTCTACGGCTGTTATGTAGCCCAGATTGTGAGCTATATTCAAAGCTGTTAGACCATTCTGGAAGCGAGCAAACAAGATAAGTTATAAATATAATATAATTAATAACAAAGAAACAACTTTTAATGAAACACTTTCACTAACAATTTGCTGGAGAAGTTCAACCAACTTCAAGATTTATATAAAACTGTTTAACATTTTCCGAACAACGCCCGAATTTTGAGAAATATAAGAGCATATGTGAATGACTAATTCAATATCCATTATAATGCTCAGAGAGCAAGAGAATTTCACATATCTATATATATATTTATAGATACAGAGCGTAAGCGTGAGGAGAAGACGAGAGAGAGAGAGAGAGATAGAGATCACCGCTCAGTAGAGAATGAGTGCACCACGTGCCAAGTCTGTTGTTGATCAATTTGAGATTTGAATTGAGTATTGGTCTATATATTTTCATTTGTATGCAGTACACACAGTATCTAAATGGAAAATAAACAGTGTCTGTTTAAAAATAGATACAGTCTATTGCTCTACTCTTTTGATGGTTGTTGCTCGCTTGGAAAAATAGACATAGTTTTTAATGAACACAAATTTCTCGCTATTTCAATTGCTTAGTCTCAGTTCCAATCGATCTCTATATAGAAAATGTAGCTAGCAAGCTGCATTCTACATGGGAGGCGCATCTCTTATCTATTCCGCAGGAAAGTCATGAATAATGAACAATTTTGTTTTTATTTTTTTACAGAAATTTTGTAAAGACATGAAGATTGAGTAAAGTCTAAGTGCTATTTCCCAAATTCCTGAAATTTGCAGTCCTTTAATGCAGTAGCTAACATATATATATGATTAAAGCAAAGCAAAATAGCTCTAAAAATTTATTTTGAGAAGGCATGCAAAAAGTGTATACGAATATAATTTGCGAAAATAAATCCATACATATCGATTCGGATAAAAGAGCAAGGAGTTAACATGTGTGGAATCGGCTATCAGACTTCGCTGTTTAAATCCTTGTCTGTGTGTCTATTTGTGTTGAAACTAAGTTTCCAAACAAGATCTGACCATCAGATTATTTTAATCAAAATAGTAATTTCTTTTTATATGTTGTATATTGTAGCTATGCTTTTAACATATCGTATAGAAACAACCTGACAACATATTTGTTGTTTAAGATATTTTAAACAAACTCAGAAATTATAAACTATGCCTCTTATAATATATATCAGCAAAAGTCTATCAACATCATAGATGGAGTTTTCGTATGAAATATAGCAAATGTATCTGCAGAGGTAATTAATTTTTGAAGCCTTGAAAATAAGCGTATTTTCTTGCTTTTTTCTGTTCTTCCTTGAATGTTTTTGTTTTTTTTTTATGGAATGTAAGCTTTCAACTATCAGCTCTGCGCTAGGTAAAGGGATCGTGGCAGTATAAATACAAAGAAGTATGGCAATAGCTTCGGAAACTTACATTTGTAATTGCATCGGGATTTGCCTTGTGTCGAAGCAGTAGATTGATTACCATTGTATGTCCTTGCTGTGCCGCCTGATGGAGCGGTGTGTAGCCAACATTTGTTGTCATTTCAATGTTGGCATCATTTTCCAGTAGAAATTTAATTTCATTAATTTGATTGTAGTGGGCAGCAATGTGAAGGGGCGTATAGCCAGCCTTCGTACGCTCTGAAATGTTTGCCCCGTGTTCGAGTAAAATATGCGAGACTTGAATATGCCCCTCCTGGGCAGCCAAGTGCAGCGGAGTCAAGCCGTTCTTTGCTGAACTATTGGCATTTACACCATGTTCCAAGAGTAGTTGAACCATTTCGACGTGTCCCTCCTGCGCAGCCAGATGCAAGGGGGAAAATCCAGATTTACTTGTTGCTCCCACATCGGCGCCGTGCTGCAGTAGCTCCTGCGCAATTTCCAAGTTATTTTTCTTGGCAGCGATATGCAGAGAACTATGCCCATTGCGTGCGCTTATTTGCGTCGAGGCGCCCTTCTCCAGCAGCAACAAGACTACAGGCTGATGATCGTAGTGCGTGGCCACGTGCAAAGGAGTCACATCGTTTTTACCCTGACAATCGATGGCGGCACCTTTTTGTAGCAACAGATTTGCCACCTTTACCTTGCCATACTTGCTGGCCAGGTGCAGCGGTGTAAAGCCCTTTTTGGTCTCAGCGTCCAGCTGGCCGCCATTCTCGATGAGCAGCTGGCAGACTTCCTCCTGGCCCTCCTTGACAGCAATATGCAAAGCCGTGTACATATCTTTCGTGCAGGCATCCACCTGGGCTTCATGCTGAAGCATCAGCATTATAATGTCAATGTTGCCAAGACGGGCTGCCACATGCAGCGGAGTCTGACCCTCGCGAGCAACCGCATCGACTTGAGCTCCATTGCGTAGTAATATTCGAATAATATCAGTCTAGAGAATAAAGTAAATGTAAACATCAATCAGTTTGTCAGAAGAATATTACAAACCTGATTTGCACGCGCAGCCAAATGTAGCGGCGTCTCGCCGCGAACTGTGGGCATATCGGGACTGGCGTCGTGTTGCAGCAAGTATATAACAATGTTCATGCAACCTACAAATAATCATTTCAGAGATTTCTGATTAGTCGAATTGGAAGAAAAGCAGAAAATTCGCAACGTACCCATAAAGCTGGCCACATGCAACGGGGTCAAGCCGGATTCCGTGGTTGCACGAATGTTGGCGCCATGCTTAAGCAACAATTCGGCAACCTTGATGCGATTCTTCTTGCAGGCAATGTGCAAAGGCGTAAATCCGTTGAGGGCACGCGAGTTCGGATTGGCGCCGTAGTCGAGCAACAGCTTAGCCACACGCACATGGCCACAGTGAGCGGCCACATGCAGGGCCGTCAAATAGTCAACGGTAACCTCATCGACAGGGGCTTTGTGATCGAGCAGCAGGCGTGCCGCTTCGTCGTGCTCCCCCTGCGCCGACATATGCAGGGCTGACAAGCCGTTCTTTGTCTTTGACAGTATGGGCGCATTCTGAGAGAGCAGCAGCTGAATGACTTCAACGTGACCGGAGCGCGATGCACAATGCAGCGGTGTTAGGCCATCTCGAGTTGTTGCATCTATGCGGGCATGTTGCGACAGCAAGAGACTGCACACTGCCGCCTTGCCCCATTTGCAGGCCACGTGCAGCGGCGTGATGTTATGCTTGGCCGTGTAGTTGACATCTGCGCCGCGTTCCAGCAACAAGCTGGCAATGTCTACATTGCCATAATGGGCGGCAATGTGCAGCGGCGTGAAGCCAGATTTCGATACAATATCAGCATCCGGATCGTGCTGCAGCAGCAATGTTGCCGCACTAACATCATTCTTTTTGGCTGCAATATGCAACGCCGGCAATCGCACCTTGCCACGCACATCGCTCTCAAGTAGCACCGCGACCACCTTGTCGTGGCCCTGCTGCATGGCCACCGCCAGAGGCGTGAAGCCGTCTTCGGTCGCCAGCGACGGATTAGCGCCCTTGCTGAGCAGCAATCGGCAGCATCCGTCATGGTTCTCCTGTGCAGCCATATACAATGGCGTAAAGCCGTTCAGCGACTGCACATTCACGTTCGCATTGTACTGGATTAGCTGTTTGATCACCTGCTGCTGGCCCGCCAATGAGGCTATATGCAGCGCGGTGTTGCCCTTTTTGGTCGCACTGTCGACGTTAATGCCACGTTTCAGTAGCTCTTCACAAATGTCTACGAAGCCATCCTTGGCAGCCAGATGCAGTGCATTCAATCCGTTCTAAATAAACAGATAACTAGGTTTAGAATCTGGGCATGATACGCTTTTTTAAAATACTCTCAGTTATAATATAGATAAACATTTAATTGTGTTTATGTCATAAAATATATCGTTTGAAATGATAGCGCCAATAATTTCTGAATATTCTGATTCTCTCAGAAAAGTTTGATTGGAATCATATTCTAGACCTGGCCCGATAGTTATTATCATTCTTTGCAAGAGCTTTACAATAAAATACATCTGCGAATATGTCTTACCGCATTGCAAGTGTTAATGTCCGTGATTAGACCAGCATCTATGAATTCCAGAACCTTGCCCAGATCACCGCTCCGTGCAGCTCGTAGAAATGATATTGTTGAATCGTTCTAGATATATGGATAACGAAAAACACAACTTTAATTCCTATTTATAAAACTGTTTGGTGATCAACAAACACATCCTAAACCATAAGAGCTAAGACGTGGTTTTGGGAAATTCCACCCGCAAGTATGAAAAAAACGAAAAATGTTTGCGTGAAATTTGTTTGTTTACCATTCGATCATTAACAAAGATTTTTGTTCAACTTTATGGGACTCAACTAGATATATGGATAACAAAAAACACAACTTTAATTCCTATTTATAAAACTGTTTGGTGATCAACAAACACATCCTAAACCATAAGAGCTAAGACGTGGTTTTGGGAAATTCCACCCGCAAGTATGAAAAAAACGAAAAATGTTTGCGTGAAATTTGTTTGTTTACCATTCGATCATTAACATAGATTTTTGTTCAACTTTATGGGACTCAACGATTTGGTTAATGAAGTTTAAATGTATTCAACGATTTGGTGAATGAAGTTTAAATGTATTTCTAAAGATCTTTGTAAAAGTTCAAATGTTGAATGAGCGAAAATTCGGGTGTAAGCTTTTGCAAAGATCTTTAAGAAATTTAATTTAAATCAAAATTCAAGGGAAAATGTCAGCTAAAGGTTTTAAGGGTGAAGTTCACTGCATTATTACTTAGTGAATACTTTTCCAGCTATTTTCAATTGAAAAGGGTATACGCAGAATTATGTACCCTACCCCAACAACAGCCGCATTGCGCTAGATAATCTACTTTCTTGTACCGATCATGAATTTTCAAAGGGTACAGAGAATAAAAAACGATTGAAAAAATTTAAACATGGGTTGCTATTCATATATAAAACCATAATTCACATACATACACATAAAATAGTTAGTTAATTCAGAACGAATAGCACCGACTCCGCCGACTGAGCACAATACAATTTAGTTTTTTTTAATGTTAGCGTACATACGCACACACACACATACACAGATACAGATACAGCATATGCATCTCATGTATTTGAATTTACAGTTATTATTGGTGACTATCGCACAATAGTGTGATCAGCACTTGTATGTGGGGCGAGGGTGGGGGTGGGGTCATGTCGCAATGTACGCCAGAGATAGCTGTGCGTGAGTATGTGTGTGTGTGTGTGTTTATGTGAAGTGATCTCATCAGGCGGATGGTCGAGCTCTACATTCTATAGAGCATTTAATCCGTTGTTTGACAGTTTAAGATACAAGGCCTAAGGTATGCATAATTTTTAACATTTATTGCTATAAATTAAACAATTCTTGAACAAAATTTTACCTGTTTTTGATGCTTCGCATTAATATTGGCTTTATCAATGTACCCGTTGTCCATACTGTGGCTGTTCTGATTTATTTGTATTTGCGTTTGTTTAATTGCTGTTGCTGTTTCGTGACCCTGGCTTTTCGTTTGTATCTCGTTTAATAACTCGCCCAGTGTCATTTTTTTTAAATGAATTCCTGAAAATAAAGCACTGACTAATTACCAAGTTGATCCCAAATGGATATCCGGAGAATAGAAAATAAAACTTTTACCATATCAAATACATACATACAAAATGTATACAAGCGTATGTATGTTTCTTCTATATACATGCACTTTCGTATAAACATATATTTGCTTTCATGCTTTTTTACAAGTATTTCTTATGTACTTCTATAACTTGTTTACAATTTTGTTCCAGCAGCGAATTTATTTAATTATTTAACTACGCATGACGTCATTTCTTCACCTACCTTAAATTTTGTGCGAACGAATTGGAATGCTAATACGAAATTAGGTCTATCGAAATTATATAGAATATCGATATTTTCCTCAAAAAGATAAATATCGTGTTAAATTCTTGCGGCGATATATCGAGTATGCATACCTTACAAGTTTTAAGATCAGCAACAGTTCATCAAATTTGCTATCTTATTTTAAAAAAAAACGAACCTGTAACCGTAACTATTAAAAATTTGGATGTTAAAACTTGACTTCAACAGTTATTTTGATTTGATTTAGATTTCGTCGTTTAGCTGTACACAGCTGCGTTTAAATAGGCGTAGGTCCAAACTACTAAATATAGTTACATACCCGTACGAGCCCTTTTGAACAGAAAAGGTCCAGCTGCTTAAAATGACGGTTAAACATAATTGTATGTATTTAAAATTGAGTGAACCAAGTTCCAAAAATCGATGCTAAGTCACCGGCGCTAGCTTGACGCATGGACAATTAAGAACGAACCGATAACATTGAAAGAGACCGACAAATGAACTAAATGAACGATAGCAAGGGACATGAACTTAATGAACCGCTCAATTGAACCTATACTGAACTATTTAATACAACACTAACAGCTCACGGGTAGTCGCACGTGTTTATATTTGTTTCCGACTTTGTTGCGCCTTTTCGCATTAAAATGGCTTTTGGACGCCCTCGTGGTGGTGGTGGCAGAGGTTTGACAATACACCAATGGTTGCGAACTTAAACTTATACACATTTTGCTTAAAAATTCTTCGGAAATAGGTTCTCGCGGAGGTGGTGGAGGTGGTGGAGGTGGACGCGGCGGTGGTGGATTCAACAAGTTCGGAGGAGGATTTAATAAAGGCGGAGGTCGGGGCACCTTTGATCAGGGCCCGCCCGAGCGTGTGATTGCATTGGGCAACTTTAGCTATGCATGCCAGAACGATCTAGTTTGTAAAGTAGATATAGATGATGTACCATATTTCAATGCACCAATATTCCTGGAAAATAAGGAGCAGATCGGAAAAATTGATGAAATTTTTGGCACAGTTCGGGACTACTCCGTCTCCATTAAACTTTCTGATAATATATTCGCAAATAGTTTTAAGCCGAATCAACAGTTGTTTATTGATCCTGGAAAGTTGCTGCCAATTTCAAGATTTCTACCAAAGCCACCACAGCCGAAAGGTGCTAAAAAGAAGGGCGGCCCTAGTGGTGGAGGAGTAAGGGGGCGTGGAGGCGGAATGGGTAAGTTAAAATAAGTGTATTATGTCTAGAACTATTCTCCACAGTAACAATACTTTACAATTATACCTTTAAGGACGTGGTGGACGCGGCGGCGGTGGCTTTAGGGGAGGGTCAAGCCGAGGAGGAGGCGGCGGTGGATTTAATAGAGGACGCGGTGGCGGCGGCGGCGGTGGTGGATTTAATAGAGGTCGTGGTGGCGGTGGTGGCGGAGGAGGGCGCGGCCGTTGGTAATACAAAATGTGAAACTGAATAAAATGAAAAGAAAAAATATAAAAACTAATTAGATGTTTGATAAATCGTAAATTGGTTTAATATTTATTTGAAAATACTGACCACGATACATGCAATATTTTACGGGTATATATATGTATGTATGAATATTTATGTACATTTGTATAGTTTTGTGCACTTATTGTGCTATTGTTGCTTTAAATGATGTTAATAATTAAGTATGGAAGATTCATAGGCCCTTAAAATTTGTATCATTCATATTTTCGATATTTTTGTTATTAAGCTGCATCGCAATGACGGCTTTTTCACTTATCCGCGAGTTGTTTTTCTTGTTCTTATTTAATATTCGGCCAGCCCCGTAAGAGGCGAGAGCATCTTGGTTGCCTAAAACATTTGTGTCAGCGATTGCATTTTCGATATTGTTATAAATGCGATTGCTGTAGTTGGAATTGTAGCGAAATGACCGGGTGTAAAGACCTTCTTGCCAGAGTTGAATATTTTTTTGTCGCTGCGTCTCCGGATATATGTGCTGGAAGCAAAAGAAAAATGTATATATTCGCATATATTGGAATGTGAGAAATATTTTACCGAAATGCTGTTGCCTTCGGGGAACGCATTCCTGATTATGTCTTCCGAGTGATGGTGATAATAATATTGAGGCTTTTGTGTCTGGGAATATCTGCGGGGGGTGCTGCTTACCTCACCATTCTGGTGTCCAATATTGCTATTTGTGGCACCAATGTAGCTGTTACCGTTACCATTACTACCGAATATATCATCCACGAAACTAAATGTACTAAATTCGCTGGGATAGATGTAAAACGTTGTTATTAAAGTTGCGTATACAAACAGATGAAACAGTATGCATGTCCAAATCAGATTTATCTGCGAATAGAAATCAAACAAATTAAATTCACGGAAACCTCTTTAATATTAGTTAAGCTTGTATATGTACCTTTTTTCTGCGCCCGTATTTCGTGAAAGTGGCAAACGGTACCAAGGATATTGTTAAAAACGTGCCACAAGAAACTCCAGCTAGCAGGCCAGCAAAGTTCAGTTGGTATGGTAATGTGCCGATCCCGAATAGAACTGTGGACAATAGCAATAGTTTGAACAATGCCACATATGGCTTGTGTACATTTTTCCAGTGCATCCATATAAGCAGGGCAGCTAGCGAGGATACCACACCACAGAGCGAGGCTGAGGGTCCCACCTGTTGGTAAATTGAAAACGATGTAAGAATTTCAATTTGAATTAAAATTTGAACAAATCCACAGTTAAACTAAGTTATCGATGAGTATGCATATGTCGCTCTGTTAAATGTAATATCGATACATTCCTTCGGTTTGTAACTCTATTAAAACTAATATCGATACAATCCGAAGGAATGTATTGTAAAATTCATACTTTACAACGAGTAAATCAATTAAAGAAAACGGATCTACTTTAAATATATATACATATATTTACATAAGTACCTACCTCGGGTCGATGGGGTACCAGAACTGCGCTGGTAAGATTTCCAGCCAAGCCCGACATAATATATACCACGGCAGTTCGCAAGGTTCCGATTAATCTCTCCAAGTCGGCAAGAAATAAATACTGAAATATAAGTGTAATTGCCAGATGCAAAATGCCAGCATGCATGCATAGCGATGTCAAAAGTCTATAAATCTGATCTGGAATTTCCACTGAGATAAATGGGAACATGCCACAAACGTTATTTAGGCAGGATATCTGAAATAACAAGAATCATAATTAACTATAAAATATTTGGTTTTTTTTTGTGAATATGTAACCCTGTTTATGTTATCTGTATGAATATCGGTTTTTAATTCTTTTACACAACCGGCAATTTTTAAAAAGTGTTCGCTTGCTTATTTAAAATATCGATATATTCCTGCAGCTTGTATCGATATAACATTAAACAGAATTACATATACATCGATAACTTCGTTTAACAGTTGATGTGTTCAAATTTAAATTCAAATTATTCAAATTCTTTCACATCGGTCTACTTTATTATATTGCAATTAGGAGCAATCGGACAATCGGAAAATTGTGGCTAAGTATAAAGAATGTTTGCAAGGTTATTTACTATTCGGCACACCGAAAAGTCTGTGTTATTAGTCTGGTTAATATTTACTTGTGAACAGAGTGAAGCTTCCTCATGAAAATATCCATTAACGAAATCACAATATTCGCGGGTTGTTATTCTGCATTCACCATAGAGTCCCGTACAGCAAGGATGGCCAATTACTTCACATACCATATGCTCAGCCGTGTGATCTTTGTAGCGGTAGCGCTGCGAGAATGAGTTTGTTTTTCGGCAAATGGGCCACTTGGTTATGTCATCGGGCCACTCGTATGGCGCTATGGATGCGGGTGCATCGCAAAATTTTGGATCCAAGCCGCACACAGATCCTGAAATCCGCCCGCCAGGCCCTGACTCACCGGGTGACCATTTTTTCCAAGTCGATATTGATTTCTGGTGGAAATTCGAAATCGATAAAGACGGGGATATATATAATATATAACACTTACCGTAGGATAGAGACCCCGTATGGAACAATCCGCCTGGGAGCTCTGAACGCAGCCGGAGTCATCATTCCGTATGCAGCAAGCCGTTTCACGTTCCTGCCTTCTAGTTTTTGCCACTACCTCCATGATCTTAATGTCGCGCCGCATGCATGCCGCAAATTTTGCCCCCATATGAACCAGGTCATTATTGCGTGGACCAATCCAGAGATTGCGCTGCTCGATGTGCTGTACCGTCTGCAGGCTCAGGCTGGTCACCAGCACTTGTCCGGTTTTCTGTTCGGTACCGAAACCAATTGGTGCGATGCCGTAGCAAATGATCGATAAAAACAGTACGACAATTTGCACCGTATTTATCCAGTATGTGAAGAATGGTCGATGATCCGTGCGATCGTCCAGATCATTGACCGAAAAGTATTTGATATGCTGCGTCTGGGGGCGTCTCGAGTTCTCCAGAACGCCATCCAGCAGCTGGGCAGCTATACGATTGCCACGATTGGTGGTTGAAGAATTGGTTATCGAATTGGATGTGCGCAGCACGGATTGGCCTTGTCCCGAGCTGCCGCTCATATGAATATGGTTCACCTGATGTATTTGATGTGCATCGGCTATCAAATGCATGTCCCCGTTTCCCCCGTTGCCCCCATTTAGAGCCGATGTGCGCCAACCATTGTGATGCCTCTCAGACGCCATATAGACGCCAACGCTGCCTTCGACTCCGACTCCGACGCCAAGTCCCAAGCCGACTGCATCTGTGGGCGGCTGTTTGTTTGTTTCGCCGTCCTCATTTGCCGACGAGGTGGACGACGCATCGCATGGACTATCGAAGAAGACCTCGTCATCGATCAGTGCAGCTAGACTATTGGCCATGCCCATGCTGCACTCGGCGTCCATGTCCTCGCCATGATCCATGGACTCCAAGCCCCTGCCGTGTACATGGACCGGCGCAAAGCTGCGCGACCATTGCCGATGATGGCATCGCTTGCCAAGGCGGCCAGGTCCATTCTTTGTGGGCCGTATATTGAACATGCTTATCAGGTAGCTAACACCTGTCATCAGCATGTGAGCCACCGATGCCTTGCGCTCCACAAATTCGCCCGCACTGAAATCGCTGCCCGCATAGCATTTACGCCATCTGCAGCTACCGCTGGCATGCAGTGCCAAATCCACATTTTGGGCATCATGAGCGGGCAGGATATCGGGCCGATCCGTTGCATGGTAGGCAATTGCTTCCGCATTGTTTCCATTATCACGATTGTCAACTGCCATGGGCATATTATAGTCCAATTCCGAGCTTGTGTTCAATGGCCCAAAACGTCGAATTGCCAGGCGTCGATGGCGTCCGTACCAGAGGGCAAAGTCCGCAGCCTCCGTGCTGGTCTCCACGCCAAAGAAACGCGCAACCTCGCGTCGCATATAAATTATGATGCGTTTCTTGCAGGAATACCGAAGGGCCTGCTGCTGCTGCTGCTGCTGTTGTTGCTGCTGTTGTTGCTGCTGCTGTTGTTGCTGCTGCGGAACGAGATGTTGCTGCTGCTGTTGCTGCTGCAGGCGGGGCGAATTGGCCAAGTGGGCAAGTGGATATATCTGCTGCTGTTGCTGCTGCTGCTGACGTTGGAACGCCATTGTGCCGGCCAGATCGGAGCCCTCGATTGTGGCGCTGGCATTCTCGTGTGCCATCATTTCCTGATCATGCTGATGCTTCAGCTTGGCCAGATCCGTTGATGTTACGGGCATGGGCATGGCCATGGGCATGGCCAGGGGCACGGGACTGATCGGGCCAGTTGTTTGTGTTGTCTGATGCACACCGGTTGTCCGGCGCGCGGTATTGCAATGTAAACAGGTGCCAGCCATGTCCTGACCCTGCACCTGCACCTGAGCTGGGACCTGTCGTTGGCCCTCGCTCTGACCCAACGCCGAAGATTGTATGACTATAATGGACTCGGCCTCATCCGGATGGTTGCTGCGTGCACTTTCCAGATTAGATCGCAACTTGTTGCATGTTCCAATGTTTTTTCCCGTGCTTACAATGGGTGGGCAGACGCTGGGGCCTGGTGCAGGAAATGTTACGGATAATGAGCCGGATGAGGCAGGCGATGGCGATGGGCATGGGCATGGGTTCGAGTTGGAAGATGTGGCGGCTGATGATGATAGCAGATTGTGCACATTATAGGTTTGTGCGCTCTTCGAATAGCTACCCTGAGCCTGCCCAGATTCAATGTGTTCACTGTGACAGCACTTGGCACGATAATTATACGGAATATTCACGTATTGCGATGACAGCGGAGGCGTGGCAGCGCATGTTGTTGCCGTTCCTGTTGTTGTTGGACCGAGCCCTGAATCCGTGTATATATCACTCGCCGGAGGCGGCGTTGGGACATACCGTTTGACCGGCGTGTGCACCGTGGAGCCCAAATAACCGTTGTATGCATCACATTCCACCATTTTGGGTGGCATAAAATAACGTGTCGAGGTTGCACTTTGAGTTGTCGCCGTTGCGGGTGCAAGTCCCGGCGATAATAGATTCATTGTTTCGATTAGTTTCACCTTTTGAGCCGGATCTCGGTAGCGCTCCAGGCGGTATTTCGAGTTGGGAGACATTGCACGTGGATGCAGTGGATGCAGGCTATATTTGCCATGCTTATGATGGATGCCGGATGAGCTCTCGGCCGGCTGCGACTGCGTGCATCCCGAATTGTTGGTGCATAGCGACGAGGTCGAGTTCGAGGATGACAACGGATAGCCTGGGCCCTGTTGCTGTTGCTGAAATTGGTTGAGATTCAGCTGCTGCATCTGATTGCCGCTGCTGTTCGTGTTAAGGCCAATTTTGTTTTGAAAATTTGGTTGGGTTTGAGCGTGGGCGTGGCCGTGACCGTGAGCGTGGGCCTGACTTAGACCCGAGGGCAAACAATCGCTATTTGGAGCAGGCGACGGAGGCGGCAAGCAGCCGTTCATTAGCGAATCATCAAATTTGGCCAACGGTATAGTTAGTTTGCTAGACTGCGCCAGGAATATCTCATTTGGATGCGGACTAAAGCGACCAGCTGGTGATCCAATCGGTTCATCTCCGTTCGCCTTAAGCGCCAGTTGCGGCTGATAATTAACCGATTTCCTACGTCCGGCACACGCATTCCCGGCAACTATAGCATTGCAATCATTTCCATTTCCATTTCGGCGCTGGTTGCTAATGCCACTCGAAAGATCGCTACGAATTGGATGCATCTTAAATGACCTGGCTGTAGCTTATTCTTAACTGCTTTATCTGGAAAAACGATTGCACAGAGAGAGAGAGAGAGCTATTTATTAATTGTTAGAGGACATCCCCTAGGCTATATCGAATCCGGGTATTGTTTTTTTTAAATTGGGTGTGAAGTATAATTCATACATGCTAGCCAAGAAATAAATAAAACGCAAAATAATCCTAGCTCTAGATCTTGGTACGATAAACGAGCACGAGCGCGAAACTTAGCTTCTTTTGAATACTTCGAGAACTCGACAGGGATAGGTAGAGATGACTCTATCCGCCATCTTAGCTTCTTTTGAATACTTCATATACTCAATAGGAATAGGCAGAGATGACTCTATCCGCTATTGGCATATTATTATTATTACCTGTATTTTTAAAAATAGAAAAGCATAACAAAACTTTGTAAATGGGAAATCAATAACTATACCAAATATAAGAAGTGGTTTGAGTAACACTTATATTAAATGCTGGAAGGCTTCTGGTCATCGTTGACTGTTTTTTAAATAATGAAGAAACAACCAAAGTATAAACAACAAAGAGTGAGCATTTATTTTGAAAATTTCTCTGTTCCATCTTTGATTTTGGTATCAACTCAAGCTTAGCGAACACCTTGCTACTCTTTGGCAGCTTAATCTTGTTGCGAATTTTAACAGCAATGCGAACAAAACCAAAGTCTACTGTGTTGTAGCTTTCTGGCACAGAACTGTGTCAAAGTTGAGCTAGTCAAACCGATCCAAAAACTAAAAGAAAAAAGGATTTGGAATGGTTTGTTACAGAAAAGTATCCAAAATCTTATGTTCGCAGACACAATTATTATAATATTTGTTTAGGAAAACATGGAAGAAAAGTAACGGACTCGTGCCAGGCAAATTTGTATATACTTACATGTACAAATACATATGCATGTTTGTATGTACAATTGTTCAACTAAAAAATGAGTTATACTTCCACCTTAATGGTAGTTAACATTTTTAATAAATTTTGTTAATATTTTGTTCAGCTTTGAATATCTATTTGAAAAATGTATTCACACACACACACACGGATGTAGAGGAATTTCATCTTATCGATTTTCCGCAAGGGAACACAAGCATAGTTTTTGGCGCAACTTACAATTATGACATTTACATTGATATTTTTGCTTCACGTATTAGCGCCATGTTTGTTCCAGCTGGCATATTAGCAAATTTCGATTGTTTTTCATTTACTTTTTATTTTTGTTCATTGCTAATGTTTTTCACCATATAGCGAGCAAAATCATTCAATGTAAATGCATATAGTCACACACGCACATGTACTTACATATAAATCTGCCATTCACTTGTAGTTAATATTGCCATTCACTGGGCGAAGCTGCGCTGCGCATGTTCTCATTTGTGACGTCACGAATTATATTCGAAGCTCCTGCATTCGAATTCGAATTGCATTCGAAACTCCAGTATTCTTGCACAACCAAATTTGCAGCATTACACATCATTTGCGTTTCTAATAGCCCAAAGCGGAACCGTTGACCTGCAAGAGGGGTGATAAACTGAAACACATATTAAATTCATTTTCATAAAGATTTTTGCAAATTAATTTGCAGCTATTTGAAACTTCATGATCCTTATTATCCAGCCAAGGTTAGATTTTCCGAAAAGTGTGAAAAACTGGAAAAGATCCTTGAACTTGATTTTTGAGCCTAAAACGGCACCTACCAAACGTGGAAGACTTCTGAAATTAATTGGAAAAACTATCTGTGAATCTCCGCAAATTTTCCCAGACCTGTGTACCTTCATCACATAGCCCTAGTTGATCACAAGTCCGCGAGGACCAAACAATTTTGTGTTGTGTTGTGTTGTAGCCCTGGCAAATCGAATTCAACGTCAAGAGTCAATTTGAAAAGAGAATTGAAATTTATGATGCATGATAATTAGAGTATTTAACAACGAAAAGGCGTTCACCTGAATTCAGTTGTTTTTCGTGCGTGAAACAGATTGGTTGCCGTTTGAAATTTGACCACAAATACAAATACGGATATATACCCACATACCAAACCAGTTAACCAGTTTTGTACACAAGGCATGAAGTCGTTTTTTTTTGTATTAGTTAGTTTTCTTTCGATCATTGGCCTTCAATACCTTTCAATTCGCGCCTATGTATCTGCCGAGTTCGATCAATCCGCTTTTAAAGGGACTAGTCCCTCATTTGAGATTGTCCATGAGTGGAAGTATTTGGATTTTGAATATCCCACCTTTGTCGAGAGGCAGCTGGCGATAAAAAATGGGTAATATGCGAAAAAGACTATTATGGGATATTTAGCACAGATTACAGGTTAAAGTTTGTCTTTAATATCTGGCAACCAATAAATAAAATGGTTAAAAAGTGAAAGGTGTAATTAAGTTATGAAAGACTATTTAAAAGGGAGAATGAGTATATATGAGATATACGGTTAATTCTTACTTAATATTAAATAAATAATAAATGAACAGAAGTCATCTAATTAAAATAAATATCGATTTTAAAAATCCCTCATTTTTCATAATCGTGCATAATATTTTCATGCCATTCCCAACCTTTAAATACAGGCTTTTGTAAATATTGCTTTAAGTATTATTGTCCAGGAGAGAATATTGTGGAGGATTATAGCATTTTACAGTTAACTTTTCGCGTAAGATTTGAAGCTAATACAGAGTATAATAAAATAAAATAAATCTAAGAGATTTATACGTAGATATAAATGGTTATTGTTTCTGTTATTTATTTATATTTTTTTCAGCGATTTTGTGCCGCGAAACAATTTACCTTTGGGCATTGATATATATGGGAGTCGACTGTTTATAACGACACCGCGCTGGAAAGACGGCGTCCCAGCTAGTTTGGTTACCGTGCCATATCCGACAAAGGAGATTAGCCCGGCATTGAAGCCGTATCCGTCCTGGCAGGCACACAGCAGTCCCAACAATCCCGACTGTTCCAAGCTAATATCCGTTTATCGCACAGCAGTCGATGCGAAATGCAACAGGCTCTGGCTCATAGATTCCGGGATTGTGAATGCTACAATAAGTTTAAATCCGATATGTCCGCCAAAAATTGTCGCCTTTGATCTGGACACAGATGAGATGATTGTCCGGTATGAGCTGCCCGCCTCGCAGATTAAGCAGGACTCGTTACACTCGAATATTGCCGTAGATATCAGGAATAACGATTGCCAGGACGCGCACGCTTTCGTTACGGATGTCTGGCGCTTTGGCATTGTTGTCTATAGCCTGGCGAAGCACAGGAGCTGGCGTGTGACTAACTACAATTTCTCACCCAATCCAACGGCGGCAGATTTCAATATCCATGGCCTGAATTTTCAGTGGTTGGATGGCGTATTCGGCATGAGCCTGTCCCAGGGACCCAAGCGAAATGATCGTGTGCTATATTTTCACCCAATGGCTAGCTACAAGGTACGTTATATATTAGTTTATTTTTATATATTAATTAATTGTGACACTTTTTTCAAGGAATTTATGGTTCCGATAGACATACTATGGAATGAATCTCTTTGGATCAATGGCACAGTAGATACGTCCAAGCTTTTTATTTCGATTGGCGATCGCGGATTTAACGGTCAATCTTCGACATCTGGAATCGCCAGAAATGGTGTCATGTTCTTTACCCAAGTACATCGGGATAACATCGGTTGTTGGGATACAACCAAACCATACGCTCGATCAAATTTGGGAATGCTCCTTGATGCTAACAAATCCCCGACCTTGATTCAATTTCCCAACGATTTAAAAGTAGACCACGAGGAGAGCCAAGGTGTTTGGGTAATGAGCAATCGGTTGCCAACCTATTTATATAGTCAGCTAGATTACGGGGATATCAACTTTCGAATTTTAAAAGCCGACGTAGAGAGCATTATCGCCGACACGATATGTAATCCGTTGTACGAATCGGCAAGCAAGCAAAAATTCGCTATTGTGTCAATAGAAGAAGGTCAATGTTATTAAACGATAAATAAAACACATCTCGCTGGTAACTTATTAAGACAATGATTTAGTACCTGCAGAGCCTACTTGATTTCTTGAGAAACGAGGAAAAGAGCATTCATATGAATATCATCTTAAAAGGTTGTATTATGGGTCTAATAAACTGAGTGTAGTCTGTACCTTGGGCCTAAATATCTCGTCATTGTTCTCTGCCGACTAGATTAATCCAACTTGATTATTAAATATAATTATCTGGTAAATTGCTCAAGTATTTATTACTATGTAATCATATGTTTATACATACCAATTATTTAATTGTCTAAACTTAACCATCTAAATAAAGTGAAAGTTATTTTGCTACCTTTGCAGTTTTCTAACAGAAATAACCTGATTGAGTCCTATATAAACCAAAAAGATGTAAATAAAATGATATTCATTACGACGATTGGGTAGGGTATTTAATTGTTGTTAAGGCCGAACACACTCAACTCGAATGCTTCTTTGTTTTAGAATTTTATCAACGTTAATTCAAAAGTTGTCATCGCCTTGTGAGATACGAGATACTGTATTTATATCTCTGTATCTTTATCTCTGTATTTGTCGCACGCGTTACACGACATACAAGCATTTATTTTTTTATGTATTCATAAGTTACTGGCTTTCAGTTGAGAAAGTAGTCTTATAACGCACATTACACACATAAACCGAGGCGGAAGGCCACAGAAAGAACAATTAATTCGCCGACATAAATTGATGTCAAGCTTCAACTATTCGATATGCGCACTTCTCATATCATAAATATAATCGGCATTCTTTTTTTCCTGACCTGGGGAAGAGTATTAGCAGACGGTGAGTCAAAAAGCTTCTGCCTACATATGATGAACTAAAATGAAAGATAATCGCATTATTAAGATTTGATTGGAAATACATATGCAAAGAACTTTCATTTCCAAGCGGAATACATTTCTTGATGCAAGAAAAAATAAACTTAAAATAAGTATATATGGACAGAAAGTCTTTTGAGGGTTGAAATTCTTGTTGTTATCTCGTGAGGCTTTGTTTGCCTGGCGCAAGATAAGAGAATAAATCTTTACTTCAAGTTGAACATGCTTGATTTTAGCTCATATTATTATATTATTAGGTTTGTTTGATATTATGTAACTAAATCGAGTTTATTTTTATGATGAAGAACAAATATCCGATTATATACGAAAATGTTGCATAATTGGACTGAGAAATGCACGCACCACAAATGAATGCGAAAAAATGGAATCGGCCGTAGCCAACATATCCAGACTCTGGATTGGATTGTGCTCCTCGACAATTGGCGTCTGCTGTTCCAGAGAACTCGATCGTCAACATTGTGAGCTGGGTCGCCTGGCTGCCTTAGAAGGCACTTCTTGTGATAATGGCTCGTCGACTACATATAAAAATTGCTGCCGAGCCTGTCAAGGTATGGGATAAGTTTTTACAAGCTATAATTAATTAGCGATAATTAATAATAATATACAACTATTTTGGGGGGGCTTCTAGTTGGCTTGGCAGTTAAGGCTAGCCAGCAAAAATGCAGGGACCCCTTGTTTTCATTTCTTTCGAATATAGATTCATATCGGATTTGCTGCTCCGAGGATGGTTTTGCCAATCAATCGGATGAAAAGGAGAATACACTTGACATAGATGCCCATCATGCTGAGCCAGAAGAAGAAGATGCCAAGCCGGATGACGAGGATCAGGATGGAACTATTGTCCTGGCTGATGATGGTGAGTATCCGGAATTCATAATTAATTTTTCTTCACCTAGTATATGAATCGAAATATATCCTTCACAGATGATATTTGTGGAAAAATTCCAAATCTTTGCGCGCATATTTGTGAAAATACATTTGATGCCTACAAATGCAGCTGTAATCCCGGCTACACTTTGGACGATAACAATGTTACTTGTTCCGAGAACAAAGATCATCTATGTCCCGGCGGATATATTTTGGATGCTAAACAAGGCAAATGCGTCGATATCGATGAATGCAAGGAGCAACTGCATGAGTGCAAATCAACTCAATATTGCCACAATACTATCGGTGGATATCATTGCCTAAATGTCAAGGCAAAGAGCTGTCCCCCAGGATATCTGTACAATATCAAGTCGGAGGAATGTGAAGGTACGTAAATGCATTAAGTCGAAACTGTGCTACCACAGGTTATCCCTTTGTCTAGTCCAAATAGCATTAGAAAAATCATTTTTAACATAAAATGTGCCTCAATATTAAGTAGAAAATGCGTACATTGGCACTAATAGAGCTGCTTCCGGCACTACACTATTTAAAATTTTATGTTGAATCCATTATAAGTATGTTTATCGTCCGAGCTACGATATGGGCATAAATATGGCATTCAAATTTGTGAATATGCTAAGTCAGAGGGCGCCACCTTTAAGTTCAATAAATACATACATATAGACATACGTACATACATACACATACGTACATATATACACACACATATATACATACATACATATGTACATCTACATACATGCATCTACATACATATATCGACATACATGTATTTATTTATTTATTTATTTATTTATTAATGGTCGACAAAATGAGTGTCTTCCTCATTATTCAATAGATTATACAATAGATGCAAGAACAGTATTCAAGGATAGGGCGAACAAAAGAGATGTACAGAAGTCTCGATATAAAAGGATCGTTAAACTCTTTAGACCATCGTTTAATGAATCCAAGTACACCTTTTGCCTCGGGAGCTCCCGACTAGGGGATACCCTGAACCCTCTTCTTCCAACATTAAATGCATATATATATTCTATTTTAGAAGCTATATGCCAAGTTTGGTGACTCTAGCTCTTATTATTTACTAAAATTGCCCAAAAAACAGGATATCGATATCGATTTTTATCGAATGCTTGGAAACCGAGTAAGTTATCGAATTTCTGAAACAAACTCGATCTGCGCGGGAACTGGGAGCATCTACATCTAAAATTTCATATATAGTATATATATTCTTGATCAGCATCAACAGCCGAGTCGATAGAGCCATGTCCGTCTGTCTGTTTCTATGCGAACTAGTCTCTCAGTTCTAAAGCTATCTTAATGAAATTTTGCAGAAGTCCGTCTTTCTGTTGCACGCAGCACATATGTGAAAACCAGCTGGATCGGACCACTATATCATATAGCTGCCATAGGAACGATCGGTCGAAAATTAAGTTTTTGTATGAAAAAACATATTGTTTATCAAGGTATCTTGACCAAACTCGGCATTTATTAGTTTTACTATGCTCCTCATATATATGCAAAATCCTATTAAGATCGGACCACTATATCATATAGCTGCCATAGGAACGATCGGTCGAAAATTAAGTTTTTGTATGAAAAAACATTTTGTTTACAAGGATATCTTGACCAAACTCGGCAATTATTAGTTTTAATAAGGTCCTCATATATATGCAAAATCCTATTAAGATCGGACCACTATATCATATAGCTGCCATCGGAACTATCGGTCGAAAATTAAGTTTTTGTATGAAAAAACATTTTGTTTATCAAGATATCTTCAACAAACTCGGCATTTATTAGTTTTACTCAGCTCCTCATATATATGCAAAATCCTATTAAGATCGGACCACTATATCATATAGCTGCCATAGGAACGATCGGTCGAAAATTAAGTTTTTGTATGAAAAAACATTTTGTTTATCAAGATATCTTGAACAAACTCGGCATTTATTAGTTTTACTCAGCTCCTCATATATATGCAAAATCCTATTAAGATCGGACCACTATATCATATAGCTGCCATAGGAACGATCGGTCGAAAATTAAGTTTTTGTATGAAAAAACATTTTGTTTACAAAGATATCTTGACCAAACTCGGCAATTATTAGTTTTACTATGCTCCTCATAGATATGCAAAATCCTATTAAGATCGGACCACTATATCATATAGCTGCCATAGGAACAATCGATCGAAAATTAAGTTTTTGTATGAAAAAACATTTTGTTTACAAAGATATCTTGACCAAACTCGGCAATTATTAGTTTTACTAAGGTCCTCATATATATACAAAATCCTATTAAGATCGGACCACTATATCATATAGCTTCCATAGGAACGATCGGTCGAAAATTAAGTTTTTGTATGAAAAAACATTTTGTTTATCAAGATATCTTTTACAAACTCGGCATTTATTAGTTTTACTCAGCTCCTCATATATATGCAAAATCCTATTAAGATCGGACCACTATATCATATAGCTGCCATAGGAACGATCGGTCGAAAATTAAGTTTTTGTATGAAAAAACATTTTGTTTACAAAGATATCTTGACCAAACTCGGCAATTATTAGTTTTACTATGCTCCTCATAGATATGCAAAATCCTATTAAGATCGGACCACTATATCATATAGCTGCCATAGGAACAATCGATCGAAAATTAAGTTTTTGTATGAAAAAACATTTTGTTTACAAGGATATCTTGACCAAACTCGGCAATTATTAGTTTTACTAAGGTCCTCATATATATGCAAAATCCTATTAAGATCGGACCACTATATCATATAGCTTCCATAGGAACGATCGGTCGAAAATTAAGTTTTTGTATGAAAATACATTTTGTTTATCAAGATATCTTGACCAAACTCGGCATTAACTATTTTCTCTGTGCTACGGGCAAAGCACTATAAGCATCATGAAAAGGTTGGGTATGCAAGGGTATTAGATCTTCGGCGTGCCGAAGATAGCCTTTCTTTCTCGTTTTTAAAATAATTTAGGAATAGCGGACAGTTTTGCAATGCCCCTGTAATTTTGTATATCAAACTTTCCACCTTTTGTGGAGAGAAATGATATAAGATTCTTTCCAAAGAGATGGATAGACAGAAGATTCAAGAGATAGATTAAAAAGATCTAGCAATGGATAATGGAGTAGACAACTTGGAATATTGTCAGGCCCAGGAGAGTAAGAAGATTTTAAAGAGTTTATAGCTAATAGGAGAGAGGAGTGTGAAATAATGGGAGGAGGTATAGAACTTAAGGAGGAAATAGTATAAGGGAATTAGTATTAGGACAGACGAAGAGTAAGTTGATTGGAAAAAATTGGCAAATAGGTTAGCACAATCAGAGTATCTACATACATATACCGACATACATACATACTACATGCATGCATCTGCATCTACATACATATATCCACATACATATATCTACATACATATATCAATATACATACATCTACATACATACATCATAAATACATCTACATACATATCTACTTACCCCCTCCACCGCCTCCACCACAGTTGCTCCTCCACAGGAGGAGCGTTGACGAGGACGAGGAGAGCACTTGGTAGAAATTCGTTATACTTAAATTTGAAGAACAGCGACAAATCTGTTCGGTTTTAGAAAGCAAGAATGAATGCATACATATATACATAAATGCATGCATCCACTAACAAACATGCCTACACACATACACACACATATATGCATACACATGAAATGTAGTTTGAGGTATTACGCGCAGATTCAAATTTTTGACGCGCGGTAACTGGGTAAAATAAAATATATATATATATATAATATTAAGCAGAAAATGTGGTACGGGCAATGTCGGGCAGCATCCGCTAGTATTAATAATACATTGATTAATATATATATACTGAATAGATGAAGACGAGTGCATTCAGTCGCCATGCGAAAAGGGATATAAATGCAGCAATTATCGCGGCGGATATGACTGTAATCCGGTAGATAGCCAGGCTTGTGGGACTGGCTTTTACCTAAATGAGGGAAGCTGCGCAGATATTGATGAGTGCAATTATAATGCGACAAACTCTTGCAAGACTGAAATGCACCAGGAGTGCAAAAACACTGTAGGCAGTTATCACTGTGACTGCCTGCCCGGCTACAGCCTGGATGTGACACAAAATGAATGCGTGGGTGAGTATGCTCCTCCGGCCAACTATGTTATCTATCTACTTACGTATGCATATGATTATGCTCGAATGATGTATGTGCACACTTCCTGTAGATATTAATGAGTGCTCGATTAACAATCACAACTGCCTGTCAACTCAAAGATGTGATAACACGATCGGTTCATATATATGCACGGTATTTTTGCTTATATCAATTTAAAAAAAAGGCACATCCAATTAAATTTATTAAATATTTTCATAGCGCTGGACATCGTGCGGCACGGGATATACATTGAACGCCGAGACTGGAAATTGCGATGGTAAGAATAATTTGAAGTAAACGTACATCTGAATGGGACTTATTTGTAACAAATACGAAATGCATATAAGCTAATCAGATTTATATTTGTGAGTTACCAAATAATCTAACTGGAAACGAATTGTTTCTTCAAAGATGACGATGAATGCGCGCTTAACACACACAATTGTCCATTGAACTATGATTGCTACAACACCAAAGGATCCTTTCGGTGCCACAGGAAAACTACGACTACGACATCCACCACAACGACGACCACGACCCCGTTGCCAGCTACATCAACAACGCCCGCACCAGGGCGAGATATGAATCCACAATTTGTTTCGCAACAGGCTTACAATCGTTTGGATTATGCTCCCAGTTATTTGACTAATTATGGATCGATAGCTCAACGGCCCTGTACCTCCGGATTTCACAGAAACAGTTTGGGTGCCTGTGTCGGTAAATTCAAAATCAAACTTCATAATTTCGCCAGAAAAAAGCGACATAATTCCGCCGGCAAATAGTATTGGGCGGAAATATGTCGGTGGAGCTATGTCGCTATGCCATACATGCCTTGTGTCAAAATACGAATAACCGCGGATGTCGTCACCGTTATCGACACTTCAAAATTCGAATGGTTGTTGATCATACAAGCAATTGTTCTAATTTCCCACCTGATTGAAATCCGACTAATAATTACGGTCGGCCATATCTTGTACAACCTGTTCTATTAATTTCCCATTAAGTGATGTCAAAAATTTAAATAGAAATTAATAAAGATTTCCTTTACAGACATAAACGAGTGCATCGAGTACAAGCCATGTATGAACCATGAGCGCTGCATCAACACAAATGGCTCGTACCGCTGCGAAAGCCTAATACAATGCCCCGCCGGACTAAGGTCAACCTCCGATGGAACCTCTTGCGTTGGTTTGTGTGCAAAAGTAATTTGTAATTATGCTTTACTCAGAAACCTGCCTTTACAAAAACTCAGATATCAATGAGTGCGAGACAGGCGATCACAACTGTGGCGAAAAGCAAATATGTCGCAATCGCCATGGTGGATATATCTGCGCCTGTCCACCTGGCCATCAGGTGACACGTCTGCCGGATGGTGTCAATAGTTGCGAGGACATCAACGAGTGTGCACAGGATCAGCCCGTTTGCTCCTCGAATGCCCACTGTTTTAATACAATTGGTTCTTACTATTGCGAATGCAAATCAGGATTCCAAAAGAAGCCTCTCAATGGCCCCGATCAGGACAATTGGCAAACCCATTCGCAGTGCTTCGATGTCGATGAATGTCAGTCCATACCGGGGCTCTGCCAGCAGAAATGTGTTAACTTTTGGGGCGGCTATCGCTGCACTTGCAACTCAGGCTATGAACTCAGCCAGGACAATCGCACCTGCAACGATATCGATGAATGCGAAGTGCATAAGGATTATAAGCTATGCATGGGGTAATCACCTTTTATCTTGTTTATAATATTTTAGTGATATATCACTTCTGTATTATTCTTTAAAAATCCGATTAGCTATTGCATCAACACGGCCGGATCCTACCAATGCTCCTGTCCCCGCGGCTACACTTTGGCGGCTGACAAGAACACCTGTCGGGATATTGACGAATGTGAAACAAAAAGCGAGAATCATGTGTGCACTGGCCGGGTGAATAGCTTATGAATAACCTACTATTGTTTATTAGAATTATTTATGTTTTTTTTCGCAGAATGACATATGCACCAACATTCGAGGCAGCTTTAAATGCACCACCATCAACTGTCCCAATGGCTATATAAACGATCAGGATCAAAAAAAGTACGATAAAAAAACTGGCCGATAGATACCCCCGAGATTCCATAACCATATATGTTTCTGATCAGCACTTAAACCCGAGTCGATCTAGCCACATCGCTCATCCGTCCGTTTATACTACTATATGGGAAACTATAAAGAATACCGAGTAATGTTCTCTATGAGCTTTTCTCGAAAATTAAAATGTCAAAGTCACCAAATTATTAAAATTAATTATCGTACAGAAAACACAGATCAAGAATATGTCACTTTTCGGATATCATACCATAATCATCAAGCACTCGTAGTTATCCAAGAACCCATATATCATATCCAGAACCCATATATCATAGAAATGTATTTATTTATCGAATTTTGATGGCCTGGGTCGCCGCTTTCTATCGAGTTCAATTTAATATTCGGAAAATAATTCAATAAGTTTCTGCTACTTTCAGCCGATGCCGACAAACTAATAACTTTTGTGAGGGAGATGAATGTTACACAAAACCATCAGCATACACGTACAATTTTATAACATTTGTGTCGAAATTAATGATTCCACCAGATGGTCGCACAATATTTACACTACGAGGACCCATTTGGTATGACGACATTGATTTCGATTTGAATGTTGTTCGAGTTCAAGCGGCCCCCAATGTTGAAAGAGCTTCGGAGATTTATTTTGAGTAAGTAACATACCTACTAATAATGTTATGCATAGGGTATTTTAGAGCTCTTGTAGACTTATCCATCAGAACGTATAAAGAAAATATAATAATAGTCTATACTATATGATACATATAGGTTTTATTAAATACGAATACTTTTTTTTACATGACATCTACAGAATCTCAATTGATAATAATAAAAATGTATATTGTAATAAAATATTTTCGATCTTATTTGACAGCACATTGAAGAGCAACAACCAGGTTAATCTTATATTAAAAAAGGCACTGGAGGGACCCCAAGATGTTGAGCTTGATCTGAGTATGACGGTGTTTACAAATGGAATGCCTCGCGGGAAAAGCGTTGCCAAATTGTTCCTGTTTGTGTCTCAATATACATACTAAAGTTAATTATGTTACATTTTCGGTTTGTAATAATATGTAAGGCCGTGAAATGTATTTTGCCCAATTACAGGATTCATTTGAGAACATTAGTAAATATTAGTCGATTTAAATTTAAAATAAGAATTTAAATTTAGTGGCGAGATCAAATTACAGATCAAGCAGTTACTCATTTTAAGAAAGTGTATATTATAATTTAAAGGAAATTTCACAGCTGATATACGCAAATTGTTTATAATTTAGGTAAGTAATTAAGTGAATAAATTGATAGTAACTAAAAATACGGATACAATTGACCAAGTTGAAACCAAAGCTAACCAAGCATTTGATTGAAATGGGCTTTGGAAATAATTGATAATCCCACTTCCCAGAAGTTCACAACATGTTTTTCGAGAGAAATAAACCAAGAAAACGGGTATCACATATTGTATCCCGACCCCAGCATAGCTGCCCGTAAATGCCACCAGAGTAGAAAGATTTTCGGTAAAATATGTCACAAAAAATGGTGGAAGAATCGCAAGCAGGGGAAAAAGTAAACGTATAAATATACTATATGAATCATAATGGGACATGTCCAAAAACAAGGTTTGAAGATTATTTTTAAGTGTAATAGCTATAAGCGGAAAACTAGTGGATAATGTGAAGACCGGAAACAACGACAGGAAATAATCAATGACAACAAAAAAAGTTGATGAAAAACTATTATGAACGCCCTGATATGGCAGAAAATTCAATGTGTAAAGATCTTCTACGTGCTCGAATGCAAAAATGCCAGTCATTGCTAGTACTATGTAAAATGTACAAATTACAATATAATCGTATGAAAGAATTTTAGCCACCATTGACTTGCTTCTGAGGGGTTCCAATAAGCTGGGCAGTGAATGGTGGCACATGAACGAGTAGACACACGCCCCAAATAACGATGGAATGCCGTAAAAATTAATGGCAACAGGCCGTCCTCTGGCCCCATCCGTGGCGAGCATCTTCAGGGCAATGCAGATCATCAACGTGAACGCTGAAAATCAAATAAATATTGTACTTATTTAACCAAGCCAATCTAATAAATCCGTACCCAGGCAACGAAAAACAGCCGTAAGTATTTGTAAATACTTTGTTTTCTGAATACTGAGCACTGCGAGTGGCCCGAAAATAAGTGTGAACCCAATTAAAATGATCCTGTACATGATTAGCCGCGATATGGTATGATCTTTCCAGCACGCTCGTTCATTCGTTTCGTTTCCTTCAAAATTACCAAGATATTGAATGGAATTTGATTCCAATTTCGTGATATCCGAAGTGTTTGAATGTTCATGTTCACTGCAAAGAAAATTCATTGTATGAGCATTCATAGATATACATATATAAATTTGCGATTTATTTTGAATACATGAAATAATTGCTGAATGAAATGTATAAAGGGTAGGCAACTGGATCGGCTAGCGATAATTGTGGCAATTATTTACCTAAGATATATTATATTAATAAAATCTTTTACGGAGACGACTCGCTTTTGTCTGCATTTTGAATGGTTATAGGGATATGATTTTGCATTCTTACCATATGACGTCGCGCAGACTTTTGGCCACCACGGCAGAGTATATGCTCAGATCTCCATACAGGTAAATGATAAAGCACAGGTAAAACAAGATGCGTCCAAAATCATTAAAAAATATAGTTGCCATTTCCCCCAACTCAAATTTGTGCGTCAATTGATAATAATGAAATTCCACATTTTGTATAGTTAAAGGAGTCGTTTCGCTTGCTGCTGCATTGAAAAATCGTTCATTATCTTCATCTTCATTTGAACTGCGTCGATGCCGCAGAACTTGAAGGCTTTGCCAGTTTTTTATCGCATTTGCGCCAGCCATGGATTCGATGACAAAGGTTACTGTGATATAGCTTATAATGGCTAGTATTATTATAACAACAAGACTGAGGCACCATCCTGCTTTGGAAAATACTCCTGGAAGAGTTAGCGCTCCAGTTCCGACAATAAGATTGAATATAAAAATGAAGCCAACCTGCAATAAATGTCAAAATAAAGCAACCTCAATTAAAAATGTATATAAATGTTTGTGCGTACTTTTGTATGTTGGTATGGCTGCGAAGATGGGTCTTTATAACATGCATATGTTGCTATAATATACGAACAACGTTTGTTATAGGAACTTAAAATAATGCGTTATTCATATATAATCAAGAATATGTCACTTTTCGGATATCATACCATAATCATCAAGCACTCGTAGTTATCCAAGAACCCATATATCATATCCAGAACCCATATATCATAGAAATGTATTTATTTATCGAATTTTGATGGCCTGGGTCGCCGCTTTCTATCGAGTTCAATTTAATATTCGGAAAATAATTCAATAAGTTTCTGCTACTTTCAGCCGATGCCGACAAACTAATAACTTTTGTGAGGGAGATGAATGTTACACAAAACCATCAGCATACACGTACAATTTTATAACATTTGTGTCGAAATTAATGATTCCACCAGATGGTCGCACAATATTTACACTACGAGGACCCATTTGGTATGACGACATTGATTTCGATTTGAATGTTGTTCGAGTTCAAGCGGCCCCCAATGTTGAAAGAGCTTCGGAGATTTATTTTGAGTAAGTAACATACCTACTAATAATGTTATGCATAGGGTATTTTAGAGCTCTTGTAGACTTATCCATCAGAACGTATAAAGAAAATATAATAATAGTCTATACTATATGATACATATAGGTTTTATTAAATACGAATACTTTTTTTTACATGACATCTACAGAATCTCAATTGATAATAATAAAAATGTATATTGTAATAAAATATTTTCGATCTTATTTGACAGCACATTGAAGAGCAACAACCAGGTTAATCTTATATTAAAAAAGGCACTGGAGGGACCCCAAGATGTTGAGCTTGATCTGAGTATGACGGTGTTTACAAATGGAATGCCTCGCGGGAAAAGCGTTGCCAAATTGTTCCTGTTTGTGTCTCAATATACATACTAAAGTTAATTATGTTACATTTTCGGTTTGTAATAATATGTAAGGCCGTGAAATGTATTTTGCCCAATTACAGGATTCATTTGAGAACATTAGTAAATATTAGTCGATTTAAATTTAAAATAAGAATTTAAATTTAGTGGCGAGATCAAATTACAGATCAAGCAGTTACTCATTTTAAGAAAGTGTATATTATAATTTAAAGGAAATTTCACAGCTGATATACGCAAATTGTTTATAATTTAGGTAAGTAATTAAGTGAATAAATTGATAGTAACTAAAAATACGGATACAATTGACCAAGTTGAAACCAAAGCTAACCAAGCATTTGATTGAAATGGGCTTTGGAAATAATTGATAATCCCACTTCCCAGAAGTTCACAACATGTTTTTCGAGAGAAATAAACCAAGAAAACGGGTATCACATATTGTATCCCGACCCCAGCATAGCTGCCCGTAAATGCCACCAGAGTAGAAAGATTTTCGGTAAAATATGTCACAAAAAATGGTGGAAGAATCGCAAGCAGGGGAAAAAGTAAACGTATAAATATACTATATGAATCATAATGGGACATGTCCAAAAACAAGGTTTGAAGATTATTTTTAAGTGTAATAGCTATAAGCGGAAAACTAGTGGATAATGTGAAGACCGGAAACAACGACAGGAAATAATCAATGACAACAAAAAAAGTTGATGAAAAACTATTATGAACGCCCTGATATGGCAGAAAATTCAATGTGTAAAGATCTTCTACGTGCTCGAATGCAAAAATGCCAGTCATTGCTAGTACTATGTAAAATGTACAAATTACAATATAATCGTATGAAAGAATTTTAGCCACCATTGACTTGCTTCTGAGGGGTTCCAATAAGCTGGGCAGTGAATGGTGGCACATGAACGAGTAGACACACGCCCCAAATAACGATGGAATGCCGTAAAAATTAATGGCAACAGGCCGTCCTCTGGCCCCATCCGTGGCGAGCATCTTCAGGGCAATGCAGATCATCAACGTGAACGCTGAAAATCAAATAAATATTGTACTTATTTAACCAAGCCAATCTAATAAATCCGTACCCAGGCAACGAAAAACAGCCGTAAGTATTTGTAAATACTTTGTTTTCTGAATACTGAGCACTGCGAGTGGCCCGAAAATAAGTGTGAACCCAATTAAAATGATCCTGTACATGATTAGCCGCGATATGGTATGATCTTTCCAGCACGCTCGTTCATTCGTTTCGTTTCCTTCAAAATTACCAAGATATTGAATGGAATTTGATTCCAATTTCGTGATATCCGAAGTGTTTGAATGTTCATGTTCACTGCAAAGAAAATTCATTGTATGAGCATTCATAGATATACATATATAAATTTGCGATTTATTTTGAATACATGAAATAATTGCTGAATGAAATGTATAAAGGGTAGGCAACTGGATCGGCTAGCGATAATTGTGGCAATTATTTACCTAAGATATATTATATTAATAAAATCTTTTACGGAGACGACTCGCTTTTGTCTGCATTTTGAATGGTTATAGGGATATGATTTTGCATTCTTACCATATGACGTCGCGCAGACTTTTGGCCACCACGGCAGAGTATATGCTCAGATCTCCATACAGGTAAATGATAAAGCACAGGTAAAACAAGATGCGTCCAAAATCATTAAAAAATATAGTTGCCATTTCCCCCAACTCAAATTTGTGCGTCAATTGATAATAATGAAATTCCACATTTTGTATAGTTAAAGGAGTCGTTTCGCTTGCTGCTGCATTGAAAAATCGTTCATTATCTTCATCTTCATTTGAACTGCGTCGATGCCGCAGAACTTGAAGGCTTTGCCAGTTTTTTATCGCATTTGCGCCAGCCATGGATTCGATGACAAAGGTTACTGTGATATAGCTTATAATGGCTAGTATTATTATAACAACAAGACTGAGGCACCATCCTGCTTTGGAAAATACTCCTGGAAGAGTTAGCGCTCCAGTTCCGACAATAAGATTGAATATAAAAATGAAGCCAACCTGCAATAAATGTCAAAATAAAGCAACCTCAATTAAAAATGTATATAAATGTTTGTGCGTACTTTTGTATGTTGGTATGGCTGCGAAGATGGGTCTTTATAACATGCATATGTTGCTATAATATACGAACAACGTTTGTTATAGGAACTTAAAATAATGCGTTATTCATATATAATTGCGCAGTTACCAAATTTGAATAGGAAACTGTATCAACAGGTGAGAAAACAACTCTTCCTCCAGGCATTTCTATATATTCCTTTGTTGTGCAAACATACAATACAATGTGACCACTTGTTCAAAGTTGGAAAATGCAGAAAAATACTTAATACTGTTTTCAAACAACAGGCAAATTAAATATGAAAGAATCAATGCTAATATATATATATATTTATAAATACATATATAAATAATAGTGTGTGGTTAAACTTTGCAACTTTTGAACGATACAAAACTAATTAAGTAGTACATGATATTTCGAGCTTACATCTGCAATTTAAGTCGTTTTATTTAATTCTAAAGGAAAACAAAACTATTATTACGAATAGTTAGTTTTAAAGTGGAGTGTGTTTGGAAAGTGTGGCCAGACGTTTCATTAGATTGTTGATCCGCTCTTCTTTTACCAAGATGAGGCTTTGAAGTAACCTAACTTTTTGGCGCACTGAGCTGATATATTTTTCCTTCTTGTGTTTCTCCTGAATCAATTGCTTATACACTGTATATGGCACTTGCTTGGGGTCCTCTGCAGGCTCCTTATCGTTTTCCAGCAGCTGCACTGGCATTTGATTCGAGGTGTTACCTGCCAAATTATTTCTAACCATCTGAATGTCTTCCTGGGTTGCCACCGCCATCAGAGGATGCATTTGTCGTTGGAATTTTAGTTTGGGTCCATCTCGCTCGGTGCACATCAAATGATAGAGCAGCGATTGCGCAGCGGTTAGTCTGGCCGAGGCAAGCTGCTCTAGATCGTTGCGAGACAATTTAAAACCCAATTTTCGCAGTACTTTCAAATTAAACATCTTCCAGTTTTCCAACTTTAATGCAAAGCTACTGTGCGAGCTAAAATTGTACATGTCTACCAGCTTTGCATTGACTTTCCTAAAGAGTCGAGCGACGGTCACAACATCGGATAGATCGCGACGTGTGCGATTGTCTAGCTTGATCTGCTTATGGATCATCCAATCATCTAGCTCTTGTAGTTCCTTGGCATTTAATGTTCGACAAAATGGCATAATTTTTAATGCTACCGCAGTCCTTTGTTTCTTTATAGAAAAATTTGAAACGTAAAATTTGGCACGACAAACAATGCTCTCTACTATTTCCTATGTACTATGATTACAACAATACTTACAATTTTTAATTAGAAAATTCCAGACTTTACGTTTACGTCCCTTTATGTGATCCAAAAAGAAGTAAACGTTTTTTACATGTTAACGAAGATGTCCTCGTATTAATTAACTTTGCACCTTTCTACAATCAATTTCTTTGTGATCTGGATTTTCTTTTGAATTATCTAAGATTAATCAATATGAATAATATTTTAACAATTGGTAATCACTTATTCATTACAATTTAATATATTCTTTTAACTTAAAATATAAGTTATAATTGAAAATTATTGTTGTTCCGCCCAATCGTTATTTAATCGAATATCCGCACAATTATTGGTTACATCACAATCATCGACAAATTCGACGTGCGTAAATGGAAAATGGCCTTTGCGACCATTTAGCTCCCCTTCCCATTGACCATTTATATTGGTTTTAGTGACTTTGATTATGTCCCCAACTTCCAGTTTTAGCGCGGTTTTGTCATATGCATTAGGCACGCGCGACTGTTTAACACGGGCTCGAGCTGGCAACTTGCGCTGCGTAAAAAGATTTGATTATTTACTTAAATAGATAAGTTATTCATCAATTACGTACGTTCAAATCTGTCCTTTTCAATGTACTAAACTGGCTGGACGATACGGAAGGGGAGTCGACATTGGAAATGCCAGAGGAAATGGTTGAACGTGCAATGCAAGAGCTGCTGTTTAAATTAGCCATATGCTCAATACCATCCTCCTCCATAGAGTCGTCGTACTATAAAGAAATAATAAAAACTCATAATATTGATGATAAAGTAAGGATATCTCCGACACGCCGAAGATGTTATAACTGTGAATAGTGAAAACATAATATATTGTAAGAAGTAGAGGAGCGGGGAGCTGTATCTGAAATTTTGTGATTCTAGCTTCTAAAAGCTAAGATATATGTATATATATAATATATGTGCTGAATCGTTATAAATTACTTGGAAACGGGTCAGTTAAAGTCAACTGGCACTAGGACCTACGTTCAAAATTTCAAGTGTCGTGCTTCTGTATATCCTGAGATTGATGTGTTTATAGTCCGGACAGAGCTAAATGCTAATTTTTGAAGTGTATTACACTTTCCAGATAATCCCTGACCGGGTAAAAAGTGGAGGCCCAAGGTTGAATGGACCAAAACTAGTTTTATCCGATCCATTTTCTTATATTATAAATAATAAATCATACAATAGTAAATAAGGGTATCAATATTTAATATCTTTGTTAAATGACCTTTGACTGGCAGGTTAAAACTTACTCGTTGAACATAAGGAACTGGTATTTGTCCAACTAGGCCAGTGGAATTGCGGGCAGTCCACCATTGGTCTTCATCTTTTCGGATTATCGTGAGAACCTCACCTCTTTGAAACGGTAAATCGTCTTGATCCTAAATATAAAGCGTATAGGTGTTTAGATAAGTTGTTGTTGCGTTTAAAATAAGTTTCTGTGAAACATACACTTCCAACGAAATCAAATTTGCCAATAACCTTTTCCAGTTTTTTCTGCGCGGGACGCTTCAGAGGCGTGGTGTCCAAATAATGTAGCGTATAGAATGTGAGTAGCTTTGGAAGGTTTTCAAAACTTTGATCGCCGATTCGGTAAACAATTTGGTCCTGCTGCTGCACCTTGTTTATAATGTAGTTACTAACTTTGGTGTCTTCTCTATATTGAAATAAAAGTTAAAGTTAATCCTTCAAAATAATTTCTATATTGTTACTGTTACTTACCTCACACACAAGACGTAGTCCCCCTCAATTGAGTTGCTGTCGCGTACTAAAAAGACTCCCCGTTCGCGCTCATTCATTAATACTTCGGTGGCATCTTGCCGCGACATGGAGCCAAAGTACCAACTAAAATAATTAATGATAGTTAAAAAATGTTTATATGTAGTGTATATACACATATACACATGAATGTTAAGCCGTTTGTATAGTCTCACAAATATCATATATGTTTGGCTGGGACGGCAACATTTTTATTCTTACCTGCTCCTATCAGATACATCAAATGTATCCATGTTTAACTCAGAATATGGGTGAGTAAAATATTTTTGACTTTGATTCTTTTGATTACTAATTTAGCATAAGATTAATCTTTACTTTGATTATTTTTTCTTTGTGTATTCTCCTTTTGCTTCTCGTTATGGATGTTCATACTGTATCGATACCTCTAAACAATTTTAGATATTTTTACCAACTGACTTGGTTAACGCCGATAATTTTAGAGCGATATTTTCAAAAACAAATCAAAATACGAAAACGCAAGAAGCGTTTTTGTCAGAGTTATGGTAATGGTAATGTAAACAGGAAGAATATGCACAATACATAATGCGTGCAATTTCCATATATTAAATTTATTACACACACGTGTTACGGAACTGCTTGTTTCTCAGTGGGCCGCGCCGGCTGGCTCATCGGATTCTCTGGGTGTGGTCCCATCCCTGGCCCGCAGTCCGCACAATCGATAACAACAAAGCTACACGTCTGTAGCAAAACAGACTCACACAACACTACTCAAAATGAACCGCATAATCGATAACAATTATTCGGAACTACTAACTCATGAACAAAATACACAGCTGTAACAACTATGAAAATGTAAACAACAAAGGTAAGACACTCAATATAAATTAACAAAAAAACACTATTTATCCACCTTACTCTTCCAGATCGGGCCCCGGTTCCGGACCCAGCGTACCCGCCCTGCCATGAGACGATCACCTCCACTCGTCTCCCTCGTTTTGGCCACTAAATGGCCTATATTAGCCCGTGTCGGCCATAATGCCCACTCTCCCCAGCAATATTATTTTAGCCGGACATGATTTCTTTCAATAGGTGCGTATAATTGGTTGCGTTTTCTTAAAATGTATAACAATCATAATCATTGCTTATGGCATTTATCTTGCAGCTGTTTAGGATCTCATGCAAGCGGATAATTCATTAACTTCACAGGTGCGTATTACTGCTGCATATATTTATACTAATTGACAAAGCGCCTTAATTCCTAAATTTTTCTCTTATAGAATTAAATTTTTTTTTTTTTTTTTTTTTTTTTTTTTACAACACTGAATGGAACAGGCGACGAAACACTACAAGGATATTGCTAGTCGCCGCAAAAGAAACGCGCAATGAGGCACTTTAGAGGCAATCGTTGCGCCGATTTAGGAACAATGGCCCACACAATTACTTAAAACTGGGTATGTCACGTATTGTGTATTGTATGTATTAAATCGCTTAATTCTACCTTACCCTACCTAAAGAGCTCTCTGGGGGTGGTAAGGGGCGATATAAATGCGTAAATTCAAATTGGGTAAGTATGTGAGCATAGTTCGCGCAAGTGTTAATTTTAGATTTTTATATTTTACAGGCGCAGATGCATCACCGTTGGAGTTTTCCTCACCGTTCGCACTCTAAAGTGAAGCTCGGCGTAAGTGCCTACGTATGTATGAATATATTTTATAAATACAAATTAACCAAATTTAACGATAAAAAAAATCTACTCCTTTTCAGGGAGTGCAATTAGGAGTCTTCTTCTGACTCTGCCAGGGGCTCGAACGAGGATGGGCAAAACAATGGAACGGACTCACTCGGTGGATGTGGGCGGGGTCTCGCCTGTGGCCGCTTCTTCGTTGTTGGAGCCCGGTCGTTGGTGGCTCGTCTCGTCGCCTTCACGTTTGCGCCGACGCTTGCTGGCGGCGTCGCGGATATGGCTGGTTTGCGCCGCTGCACTGAATCCTGGCCTTGAATATTTCGTGGGCCTCTCTGGTGCGCGAGCTGGTCTCCTTGGTGCCGAAGCCGTTAATTTTTGGCTTATTTGGGTCCTCTCTCGTCGCACTTAAGTTTTTAAGTCTCTTTTAATTTTTTTAATATATTTTTTTTGTGACTCGAGTGGTTTGACTTATATATTTTTATTAAATGGCGAAAAAAGAACACAAAAACAAGACTTTTATTCGTCTGTTAAGCCACTGGTATTATGTGCCGGCTTAAATTTTCAGAAGGGAAAAAAAATTTTACTCTGTCGAGCAGAAATGCAATGTCCAACTTTTTTTGCTCACTTCGAGCTGGCACGCCCGCCGTTAACCGCTGAACAAATCGGACTCCCCGACATTTTGGGCAGCCACACCATCGGTGCCGAATTTCGGCACACGCATACATTTGCGAGGCGGGCACCGTTGCTGCTCATCTGCACAGCTGCATTTTTTTGGGTCAACGGCCCAAATGAAGGCCAAGGGCATATCCAAGGGCATGCGATCCACTCTCCTCGTATTCCCTTTAAGAGCGAACCGGGCGGCCAATAGCAATCGTCGCTTTTGGCGCCGTGGATCGCATGTCTGGCGTTGCCACCCTTCAAAATTTTGGGCTCCGCCGTGGGCCCAGCTTCACCCCGCATACTCCGACCATATGACAAAAAGATATCGGCGTGGCCGATAATATCGAACGCAACCAACTGAGTAACCCTCGGTGCTGCCGATAACGTCCAATGCAACATCACCACGCAGATTATTGTAACGACATGAAGGACAGTTACAAGGAATCTGCGTGCGCATTTCATGGATTGACCCAGCCGGCTAATAACGATGCCCAACGTAGGCCACACCCACGACAAGTAATCTATATTTTTTTTTTTTTTTTTGCTGACCCAAAAAAAAGGGGGGGCTGGCGCTGCCGCCGCCGTTGCCTGGCAAGGAGGTGAGCAAATTACGATTATGTTCGTATATCTTTTGCGTGGAAGACGCCTAGCACGCGTCCCTGGAGATCCTCCAACTCGTAGGCGTTGGTTCCCACGGCTCGGACGACGCGGCTCTTCAAGAACTTCCGGGCGAACTTGGCATTGAAGGCTTTGCCGAAGCTGCTTAGTGCGAAGTTGCGCCTCCACACTTCCTGTCCCGGTTCCAGATGGAGCTGTCGCGCGCGGTGGTCGTACCGTTGGCGGCTTCGCTCGTATGCGGTGTGCAGGTGGTCCTTGACTTGGCTTCGGATTACAGCCAGTCTGTCCTTTGCGTCAAGGTCAGAAATACTGTGGTCGGCCAATGATCTCAGCTTCCTGGCCAGTTTGTAACTGGAACCATTCAGGTACATCTGCTGTCCAAAGACCGCGAAGAACGGAGTGACTCCCGTAGCGCTGTGGACCGCATTCCGGATCGCCACTTCCACCTCTGGTAGGTACGCGTCCCATTCCCGATGATCCTGACCCAGGTAGGTTCGGATTGCCGACAGCACTGTGCGGTTCACGCGTTCGGCGGCGTTGCTCTGAGGCGAATACACTGGTGTGCGCAGGTGAGTAATGCCAAACGCCTGGACCATCGCATCGAACGACTTTGACACGAATTGTCGTCCATTATCCGAATGGATCACTTCCGGCACGCCAAATTTGAAGAACACCTCATGCACTAGGAAGTTCACGACATCCGCCGCGGTGGCTTCCCTCATGGCCTTCAGGAAGGTAAACTTCGAGAAGTGGTCTACGACGACGAATATCCACGCGTGCCCTCGTTTCGACCGTGGATACTTCCCCAAGAAGTCGATATATAGCTTCTGGAAGGGGCGGTCGGTGCGCACTTCTTCCCCAATTCCGACCTGCATTCGGTAGTTCTGTGCCTTGGTCTCCTTGCATGTATCGCATTTCCGAACATAGTCCCTGACTTGTATGGCCATGTTGGGCCAATAATATCGCCTGCGCAGCGCGTGCAGCGTTTTCCTCATGCCTCCATGAGCTGACGTCTCGTCCGCGTGTGCTTGTTGGATAAGTCCTGCCGTCAGCGACTCCGGCACCCAGAGCTTCCAACTGGTGCCTTCGACCTCATCCTCCAAGCTCTCGTGCACGGTCCTCTTGAACAGAAGTCCGTCCTGCACTCTAAGGTCCGGCAACTTCCCTTGTTGGCTCATCACCTCTCTTATCAGCTCTCGATATTCGGTGCTCTCGAACTCCGGGGTCTGAAATCCCAACAGATCTTCCGGGGTCAGTTCGACCTCTTCCACGCTTCGGGACAATGTGTCTGCGACGACGTTGTCGGCTCCCTTGCGGTACTGCATGGAGAAAGGGAACGCTTGCAGTTCTAGGGACCACCTGGCTAATCTCCCGCTCAAGTCTTTGAGACTCATAAGCCACTGCAGACTCGCATGATCGGTGATTACCGTGAACGGCATCATCTCCACGTACGGCCGGAATCGATGTATGGCCAGTTTGGCGGCTAGGCATTCCTTCTCGGTCACCGAATAGTTGATCTGGTGCTTGTTGAGTTTGGCCGAGAAGAATGCGATCGGCCTTTCCTGTTGTTCGTCGTCTAGCTGGAACAACACGGCTCCTACTCCGTAGTGAGATGCGTCGCATTGGATGAAGAATGGTCTTCGAAAATCCGCGTGAACTAACACCGGGGCTGTGGTGAGGGCTAACTTCAAGCTTTCTATGGCTTCTATGGCCTCGTCGCTCAACACAAATCTACCCGTTCTCTTCTTAAGGGCATCAGTCAACGGTACCGATATCTCAGCGAAGTTCTTTATGAATCGGCGGTACCACCCCGCCGTACCTAAGAAGCTTCGTAGTTCCTTGACCGTCCTCGGATTCGGGATGTTCCGGATCGCTTCTACCCTTCCCGGATCCATGCGCAGCGTCCCGCCGCCTATGATGAAACCCAGGTAGTTTAGGTTGCGGAAGCAGAATTTCGACTTCGCCATGCCTATGGTGAGGTTCGCGTTCCTCAGACACTCGGCCACCAATTCCAAGTATTTTAAGTGCGTTGGAAAATCTGCCGATATTATCAGCAAGTCGTCTAGGTATACGAATACGTTGGACCTCAAATTCGCCGGAATTACCTTGTCCATGAGCCTGCAAAGTTGTTGAGCGGCGTTGCAGAGCCCGAATGGCATGTGGCGGAACTGGTACAGCGGCCTCCCTGGTACAGTAAACGCCGTATACGCCCTGCTCTTCTCCTCCATCTCTATTTGCCAGAACGCGAACTTAAGGTCGACGCTAGAGATGAAATGAGTCTCGTCGATTCGCGATAGGATGCCCTCGATGCATGGAAGCGGGTAAGCGTCTTTTACCGTTACACTGTTTAATTTCCTGGCGTCTAAGCAAAACCTGTTCTTCCCAGGCCTCATCACCACCGTCGTCCGGTTGCTCCAGGGGCTGTCACTCTCCTCGATGATGCCCAACTTTAGCATCTTATCCACCTCGGCCCACACGATCTCTTGTTTGGCCGGGGACAGCGGATAATGTCTGTCTTTCACGGGTTCTGCTCCCTCGATCAGCTGAATTCGGTGCTGCAGCAGGTGAGTTTTCCCTAGGCCATCCTTCTCAAATTGGAGAAATCTGCGCTTCACGCTTTCCAACTGACTCCTCTGATCGTTGTCCAGGTCCCACATTCCCGGATCCGTCACGCAGTCGTCGTCGTCCCGGTAATAAGCCACCTCTGGGTTCGCTACCGTTACCTCAGATGCCTCTGGTGGTGTTTCGGACTTTCTGGCCGGACCGAGCAGCTCTGGTGCGATCTCAAAGGCTCGCCAGAAGTCGATTCCCAGGTATAGTTCCTGTCGCAGGTCCGGGCACATGTAAAATACGATATTTTCCGTTCTATTCCCGTATTTCACAGGCAGAACAACGCGACCTAAAATTGGGCGATTGGCACCCGCCGCTGTCCTCACCATCGATTCGTATGGCCGCGCTTCCCATCCCAGTTTCTCCACTAACTCCCGGCATCCTTGTCCCAACAGACTGACGGAGGCCCCCGTGTCCAGCAACCCTTTCATTTTGGCCCCAGCGACCTCAACTTCGGCGAATACTCGTGGGTCTATACTCTCCTCCCGTCTCACCGCTTCGACGACCTGGCGCCTGGTAATCCTGCGTCTGCGGAAGCGCGCACGTGCCTTCACCATTCTCCGGGTGGCTAGCGTCATCCCCTCCAGCTGTCGCTCACCAAAAATTCTATTTCGGGCCGACATGTATGCCCGAACACGTTCTTCGTATGGTAAGCCCCTAAGTGTTCCTCCTTTGCTTATACTATTATTATAATTAGCCTTATCCTGATCCTTATTCCAAATCTCCGTCTCCTTTCCAATGATTATTGGCTCTGGTAGGTGCCCCTCTCCTGCTTTCCCGCGGTCGCCGTCCCGGAACGCGTCTGTCCCGCCATCACCGCGCTCCCTCTGGGGTTTCCCGGACAGTTTTCACACTGCGAGCAGAAAGTGTCCGGCTTTCCACACCTATAGCAGAATATTTTCCGCTCCTTGGACAGGCAGTCTCTAAAGACGTGGTCGAACTGTCTGCAGTTCCAGCATACAATTCGGGATGAGTTCC